TGAAATTGTCTCCAACCCTTGATTATAATAGCTTTTAGAAGAGAAGCGTTGGTGGAATTTAATGCCATGTTAAGGTCTACTCCTTCTATTGGGGGATAGAAGGGGTGGGAATTCAACCACCTGAAGAGACTGAATCACTTATACCACATTTTTTCATAGATTGATTCAGTGAATCGAGCTGAGGCTGCTGCTAATCGCGTAAACTTTCAGAATCGAAAAAATAAGGAAATAATTTAATGAGCCTATTTATGATTTATGTCTAAAATGGCTCGACCAAAATGTGAATAATTTGCTAATTTTTCCGTCATAAAAAACAATTATTTTTTCATCTACAATGTCTAATGTAAAAAGCATAAATCTTAAATGCTCGCAAGGAAATATGGCTCATATCAGGATAAACAAGAGTAGTGGCATTATGCTTATTACTGGGTTTCGAACAATTCCTTTTTAAGTCCACGAAGCCTTGATTTTAATATATTTTAATTAATAATGAGTGCAATAAAAGCGTTAAATTCAAGGCCTATTGATAGCCTCAAAAACCTACTTACTTAAAAATATTGACATTCTTTCTGCTATATTTTTGAAAATCTACCTTAACAATGCCATCTCACCATTTATACAACAGCTGCAGCGTTGTCTTGTCTGCTTGGTGCTGCTGGAGGAGGTGTCGATGGCCTAAACAACCTGCTACAGGCGGTTGGAAAAGATTCCGCAGGTCTTCAAAACCTGTTAAATACGATTGGGGGAGGCGCCGAGGGCCTGGCAAATCTGCTTAATGCTGTAGGAAAGCCCACCTCAGAGGCCTTGAAGGACCTTATACAGGCGACGGGAAGAGGTGAGTGATATTTGAAAAATAGTTACGCTTTAGGTCAATTTAGGTGATGCAAGGCCTGGTAATAAAAATGATCGAAAAAAGCGCTCAGAAATCCAAATATGTTATTTAATTTTGCTTAAACTTACGGGTAATCCTGTTTTATTTACTATCGCGGACTAGAATTTCGATTGTTAAACGGAATTTAAAGTTAGTTCGGGGGTAGCAACGAGCTAAACACTTTCAGATGAGCCACACAATTCGGGAGTCAATTGGACAATGGCTGATGTAACTTTTATGAAGCATCAGGCCGATCTTTATTTACAATTATGCTGACAAGGCAAACGCTTATTTGCCATCAAATCTGATTATATTACAATATAATTTACAAGTAGCATTTGAAAAAAAATGGAAAATTTTTCCTGCTTAATTCTAGATATAGTCGCAGCCTTCTTTCACTATACATATTTGGTTTGACATCTCTTTTGCAGGGTAGCCGAGTTGTTAAGGCGACCTCGAAGAATATGCTGTGTAGTTCGTAGTCTGCTGCTTTCCCATGATTTTTGTCAAACATCACACCTTTTGTTAGGTGCATTATCAGATTTTTCGTCTTTGAGTACTACCATCCTTAGTCCTGAGGCAGAACTCATCGAAATGACAAATGTAGTCATTGCCACTGATGATCTTCTTCCCCATCTTTTTAAAAAAAAATTATAATAACATCAGATAGGATTAGCCAAAGGATTGATCAATTTTAGCCTGATCTACATTCAATTGTGAATTGGTCACTCATTGTAAATATTTATTTTAAAAAATAATGGACCAGACACCGTCTATATATGCAAAAAAAGTGGTTTTCGAAGAATCTCCTAATAAATTAATTTTGGGCTAACTTTCATTTGGCTTGAAGAGGTGAATGTTAGTTGGCCTCACTAAAAGCTGTAGGAGGATCGCCATGTAGCTGGGATGGTAGATTTGTGCAAATAGGTCCTCGACGCACTGCCCTGAGAGTCCGATGAATCTTTGCTGAGCTCTCGTCCGTCATATGACAGACATCGTCAGATCAGGACACTGTGCTTTACGATAATTAATCGAACATAAAAACAATAAGGATTCATTAAGGACAAAGGGCGGTGCGCCAAGGACCTATTTGCACAAATCTACAATCATAGCTCCACAGCAATCCCCATCGCAACTTACAGTGAGGCCAATTTACGAATCCTTTCCATTCGCCTCTTTAAACGAAATGAAAGGTACTCCAACATGGATCATGTATATACTTTATTTATTATTAATTTATAATCTCTGTCAATAAGTATAGCAAGTAATAGTAGAAATAAGTTACGGAAGTTTCATTCTGATGAAAATATACCAAAGGACGCGTGCATATCTGTAAATATTATGTAATATGTATGATAAATGTCGATGGCTGCATGTAGTCAAATAGATTATTTGTGATGTTTTGTTTCCAGAATGAAATAAGGTACGTGTAGAGATAGAAAAACGAAAGTATCTAACTCTATCACAACAAAAGTCTAAGTCCTCGACTTTTACTCAAAGTACAACTGGGCTAATCCTGGTGGAAGGAAAAAAATGGTTTACTAGCCTTCCTGGTCTCAACGTGTTGAACTTTCTAACAAATTTCCTGCTAAAATACTTCCAGATAATGAACTATTCAGGACTAAACTTTTTACATTTTACTTTACTGAGTTTGGCATGCAATATAAAGCAAACAACGATTACAACATGCAATAAATCTTCTCCAACATCTT